TTAAGTACCAAAGCATCTTGTAAGAGATAATGTCAATTTTCTAGTCTTATTTCGTCAAGATGAAGTTTATTTGAAGCATGTGTATGATGATCATGTAAGCTCAGACATGCCATACATTCAATTAAAAAATTTATGCTCTAATTGCTGGAATGATGATAAACATAGATTCGTCGTTATAAACAAGGATAGACAAATAAATAATGGTCGCTACAGAAAAGGTTTTGATAATTTTGCCGTACATTTAGGATATATCTAGGTAATCGTTACAGTCTGTTGCAAGACATTGAATCATCATCATCATGTATCAACAACAGAAAAACGTTCTAAGCCAGTTACTGAAGGCGCAAGAGGCGGTTAAAGAAAAGTACAGACTGTTGAAGTTTAAGAAAAATGAGGCCAAAAAAGTACTTAGTGAAACTTTCAAACCAATAACAGATCCTCTAATGGAAATTGTTGCCAAAACAAAAAAACACAGAAATAATAATAATAATTCTGTTACTCACAATTATTTTTATAATAAAAACGATGAAGAAAGTAATAAAGTTGATAAAGTGAATCAACAAAAAAAAAAAAAAAACAGAGAAAAATTCAGTGATCATGATTTAACTTCAAGTCTGCTGTTAGTGAAAGTGATGATGATGATGATGATACTGATTTAAATAATACTGTTCAAAAACAATCTCATGATTCTGTTCAAGTCAGCAAAAATTTATCAAATAATTTTTATTTACAAATACTTGATCAGAATCAGACAGATTTATTAGATTTAAAGTATGGAGTGCGAAAAGAAAATGAGTTGTACAAACTCAGCGATTCGCGAATAGAATTTGAAAATAATCATTTCAAAATAGATGATTTAAAGTATCCAATGACTTCGGGATTAATGGAGCTACTCATCAAAAAGCATTCTAATGAATCTCTGTTGACGCAGGAGGATTTTGAAAAANATCAAAAAGCATCCTAATGAATCTCTGTTGACACAGGAGGATTTTGAAAAATACTACATATTATTAAAAATTTCAAATGTTCACAGAAAAGGGTTTAAAAAAACGGAGCTATACGAACCCATAATAGTAATAAGATTAATAAAATGATTTCTCCAATGTTCGATTTCACGGTTTGTAAAAAAGGTGGATCGTTGCTACCTTATTATAAAACTGCTCGAATAATGCAACAAGTAGATTATACACACTGGGATGATCCCAATGAATAAGTAGATCGTTTAAGCTTACTAATAGCTGAAAAGTCTGCAGGAAATACAAGTCATGACAATGAAATTATATCTATCATTGAAGAGCTTCGCGAGGGAGGATATATGTACTAACGTATCTGTGTAAATATTTCTTCAGTCTCAAAATGAGTGTCGATGTATTCGGTCGAAAATTGGGTAGGACTGAAAGTGGTGGCCGAGGTCCTCGTGGTATTGGATATAAACTTACCGCAGATGGACAGTATGACTTAAATAATAAAAGACTGTGCAATTTTGGAACACCAGAACAGCCTCAAGATGCAGTAAATCATGCTTACTTCGTTGGAGTGGTTCAAAAACTTGAAAAAGAAATAGATAGCTTTAGAATTTTTATATACAACTTACAAAAAAAATTTCCATTTATTCATGCTAATTCAAAAAACTTAAACCTAGACGACTAATACATGGAGCAAGTTGTTGAGGAACTTCATAAGGCAGCAAGGCGTAATTACCCCCGTCGAAAATTCAACATACGTGGTTTAGATGAGACTTGGCAAGCAGACCTTGTAGAGATGCAGCCTTACGCTCGCGATAACAAAGGGTATCGGTATAAGCTCACTGTAATAGATAATTTCTTCAAGTACGCGTGGGCTGTACCTATCAAGAAAAAAACTGGTGAAGAAGTAACTGCAGAAATGCATTCAATATTGAAAAAAGGAGGAGTACCCATAAACATGCAAACTGATCGATGCAAAGAATTCTATAATGCAAACTTTCAAAATCTCATGCAAAAATATAAAATCAATTTATACTTAACTTATAGCAATCTCAAAGCTTCTGTATGCGAACGATTTTATCGTAGTTTAAAAGATTTGATGTGGAAAAAATTTAGTTTGCAAGGCAATTATAAATGGCTGAACATGTTACAAACATTAATTAAATTTTATAATAATAGAAAACACCGAACAATTGGTTTGAAACCAAAAGACGTTGTTGCTGAAAATGAAGTTCAAGTTTTGGAGAAGTTTAAAGAAATATATAAAAATAGTAGTAAGTTCAAATCTAAATTCAAAATTGGTGATAAAGTACGAGTGAACAAAACCAAACAAGCATTTGAAAAAGGGTATACACCAAATTGGTCGACTGAAACATTTACAATCACACGTGTAGCAGCAACAAACCCAACAACGTATTATCTCAATGATTACCGAAATCAACCCATTTCTGGAGGGTTTTACGAGCAAGAATTGCAGAAAACAAAGCAACCTGATGTTTACCTCGTAGGGAAGGTCCTTCGAGGACGTGGAAATCAAATTTTAGTGAAATGGTTGGGCTTTGACAACGTCCACAACAGCTGGATCGGCAAGAATAAATTGTAAAAAATATCTGCTAAGTTGAAAAGTTTTTTTTTCAAATTTTTTTTTTAGNGTATATTAAATATTTAAAGAAAAAAAAAAACACTCTAGCCTTCTAGTAAAAATACCTTTTTTTAAGGTCATTCTCTGTTTTAATAAGTAACATCTGAAAAAAATATCTTAGAACATAGTGAAGAAATAAGTACAGAAAAGTAAAGCCATGTGCTTGAAAAAATTTAATATAATGAATTAAGGTACTTTGGGTGTATTATAAAAAAGGGTATTTGCGTAGACTATATCAATATATTTAAAGGTTATTGACAATACTATTGTATAATGTCTATACTTAGTCGAGGAGCCAGAGGTTTTCATTTTGTTGTTGTATGGAATTTTACAAAATTTTGCAAAAACTATAGATTGTTATTCATATAATGATCCTTTAAGAAAGTTAGAATGAAGCTGGTCAGGAAGATCGTTTTTTATTGCAAAATAACTCTGAAAACCAATTTTTTTTTAGTTATCTCACAACTTCCTGGAAATAAGGCATTTTATCTAAAAAAATTGAACACAATAGTTGTTTAACTGATGATTTTACAAATTGGCAAATGTTTTTCAAGAGATAAAAATTTTTTATTCTTATTAAAACGTACCGAAAATATGTGCTAAGGTTGTAAAAAGTGAACAACAAAGAGATATGAAAAAACAAAGGAAGAAATTGCTTTTTATTGTTGATATTTTAATGTAAGATAGGTATTAGTATTGTTATCAAAATGCACCAGGTCCGCTTTTTCAAAAGCAATATGGCGACCCACTGCAAAATTGTTAATTTAAAAGCTTAACTTTAAACGCTGTAACTCCTGTCACAAAAATCGGATCTTGATAAAACTAATTGGGATCGGTAGGTGATAACATTATCTGTTATTAAGCCTATTTTTAAAATTTTTAGAAGAAGCGATACTTTTACGTTTTTAGTTGTTGAGCCTAATATAATGCACGTAGACGATTGAAACTTGAATAATTAAATGCCCGAGGGCCATGGTACATTACAAAAATAATCAGACAATGATTCCCAGAATACTTATTTAGAAATTGTTTGTTACAGACAATAAGTGCGATGGCCAAAGTAATCAGTCGCTTTGCTGCGTCGATAAAGTCTGACACCGCACTCGTTTTGTACAAACTCCACGCTCATATTTGGCCGACTCAGGCGTTGCTGGAATGCTTAATTGCAATGTAAGAATGTCATATCTCGGCTTCTAATGGGCCTACAATGAATTTGTTTTGTTAGCAAATTAATTAAAAAATAGGTTTAATCGAATTCATTTCATTCCAAAGCTCTATCTTGCAAATTGACAAAATTATGAACTCCAAAAAGTGGTTTTAATAATAAGAAAAAAAGTAATTGTTAAAAATGTTTGAAAATCGGCTTAATAATAGATAATGTGATCACCTATCGATTCCAATTGGTTTTATCAAGATCCACTTTCTGTGACAGGATTAACAGCGTTCTAAGCTTTTGAATTGATAATTTTGCAGTAGGTCGCCATATTGCTTTTGAAAAAGCAGATCTGGCGCATTTTGTTAACAATACTAATTCCTATCTTATATCCAAATATCAACAATAAAAAACTATTTCTTCCCTCATTTTTTTATATCTCTTTGTTGTACACTTTTTACAAATTTACCGCATGTTTTTGGTAAGAATAAACAATTTTAAGTTCTTGAAAAAAGTTTATTATTACGTAAAATCATCAGTTTAATAACTTTTGTTAACTTTTTCGGATAAAATGCTTCATTTCTGAAATACTGTCAGATAACTGAAAAAAAATTGGTTTTCAAAGTTATTTTGCAGTAAAAAAGGATCTTCCAGACTAGGTTGATTCTAACTTTCTGAAAGGATCATTATATGGACAAAAATTTACAGTTTTTGCGAGATTTCATTAAATTCCATCCAACAACGAAAAATCATTTTTTTTGAACCTTTGGCTCCCTGACTAACTATCACAGATATGAGTACTGCACACGTAGCAGCTATCATTTTACTCTGTAGAGCACAATAATCTATTTCTTATCAATTAAGTTTCTTATCTCGTCTCCTATGTTTTGTGCCCCGTGTCTCATACCTTCTGCTCTATGTATGAAATAACTCTTTGCCATGCTATATCCAAAATCTCTCATTTTTAAACAATGTAGTGTGTGCCACGTCCCGTGTTACGTGCACTGTCTATACAGTTGAAAACGTATATAATCTACCATAGTTTAAAGAAACATAACTTAAACGGGACTTTGAAAGTTGTCAAACAAATGTTTATTGTAATAATAATTTAAACATCATTTTTTCTGACTAAAAATGAAATAATTTTTTTTTGCTTTTAGTTTATATACACAGACTTAACTCAAATGATCAGTTCAACATGTAATTTTTGTATGTAAGTTTTGTTGACTTTGTGTTATAGATGTCTCCGAAAAATCATTGTCATTAAAGAAACAAGGTCGTCAACACAGCAAAGAGCACGAAACAGAGGTATAGAATTGTTAAAATTCTCTGAAGTTGAGAAACTTGGTTCGCAAAAAAATTATCCAGAAGTACCACCAAAACCAGCAGATCTTAGTACAGTTTGTTATACCTCAGGTACTACTGGTAGTCCAAAAGGAGTAATGTTGACCCACCAAAATGTTATGTCAGGTATATCGGCTGTTTTGCTTCAGTTAGGAGAATTTAGACCTACTCAACATGATGTCATGATAAGCTTCTTACCACTAGCACAAATGTTAGAAAGATGTTGTGAAAATGGTATGTACATGGTTGGAGGATCTGTTGGATTCTTTAGTGGGGATATAAAGACATTGTCTGACGATATGAAGATATTGAAACCAACTGTTATGCCAGCCGTTCCACGACTTCTTAATCGGCTTTATGATAAGGTACACAACAGTAAATTAGATAATCATAATTTTTAATGACTTTATATTTAAGATATGCTTACTAAGACATTAAGTTTTAACTTCAGTTAAAAAATTTAGTCACAATGATGAACTCGAATCAGCATCTTGCTACATTAACATGAGATCCTGTTTTCCTTTTAAATAAAAAATTTAATAATCTTCATTATTGTGTAATTTTCTACTTAAAAAATAAGACGTTCTAAAGTACATCCTCAAACGTATCTTCTAGGATGTTTTGTAGGACGTCCTATTTTCAACTAAAATAGAATGTACTTTAGGAAATCATTTTAGATGAACCTTAAGATGTCATAAATTATTTTCTGCTCAAAAGGAAAAAACTTAACAATAGACATTGAATAAAAATGATTTTTTATTTTGTCTTTTAGCAAACGAAAAAATAAAAAAAAACCATAAAAGAAAAAATGTTTTTACTTGAGGGTCAGTGCATAAGAACACAGTCAGTAAGAGCTAATTTAGATGTAAGAATAAAAAACTCTAAAAAGTCAGGTGTTGGTTCAAGCAACGTTTCGTTGGTCTTAACGCTTACCTCATCAGGCTCACTTTATTAACAAAAACAAAACCATAAACAAAACACTTTTTGTGAATTACATTGTAGGGACACTTTTTACAAATACTAACATTAAATCAACAAACGATTATATGTCAGCAGTCTAATATTAATTGTAATAAAAGTAATTTTTAAAAATTAAATAATTACTTACGTCCATATCGTTATGACGATCATTACAGACTGTTGGTCACCTTAACCAAATAACGTAAGTGTCGAACATGTATGTATTTCCATATATAAATATAAACAATAAATTTACGCTTCTTACGATAACGTGTGTACAAATCTACAATGTAGAGTTGAAAGAGATTACTTATAAAACCTTTATACATGTGATTGAGAAATAAGGCGTCCTTTTTTTTTATTGTGTGTTTGGTAGAGTGTATGTGTAACATTTCTGATATTAATCTTTTCTGTCTATTTCGTTCATGGTTAAGGATTTTGGTTTAAGAAAAATTAAAAACATGGTTAAATTCTTTCATGTGTAAAGTGACGAAAAGTTTATCTTTCTTTGTATTTTTGTGTTCATCCAGGCATTTTTTTCAATGCTCTCTTTGTCCCACCTATGTACAATGTGGAACAAGAATCACAAGCAAAACGATATACGACGTTGGGAAAAAACGCCTGAATAAACACAAAAGTACATAGAAAAATGAGCTTATTGTCGCTTTACACATACAAAAATTCAACCATAATTTTCATTTTTCCTTAACCAAAATTCTAGACCATGAGCTTCATAGACAGAAAAGATTAAGATTTGAAATATAACACGTCCATTTTACTAAACACACAACAAATAAAAAAGACGACACCTTATTTCTTAATAACACAAATAAAAATGTTTTAAGTAATCTCTTTCAACTCTACATTGTAGATATGTACATAAGTTGTCAACATTCGCAAGATGCTTACATTTATTGTTTCTAATTATGTATGGAAATACGTACATGTTTCACACTTACGTTTTTTGTTTAAAGCGATCAACACTTTACCACGATCCCCATAATGATATGGACGGGAATGATTATTTAATTAAAAAAAATTATTTGTATTAAAATTTGTATTAGACTACTACCATATAATCATTTATTGACTCATTCTTAATATTTGTTAATAGTGGTCTTACAACGTAATTAACGGAAAGGGTTTTTTTTTTTTTTGTTAATTAAGTGAACATCATCAGGCTGATGAGGTTGGCGTTAAGACTAACGGAATGTTGCCCAAACCAACACCTGACTTCTTGGAGTTTTTCATTCTTACTCCTAAATAAGCTCTTACTAATCGTGTGCTTAAGCACTGACTTTCAAGTAATCATGGAAACAACTAAGAGCAGAACGACATGTTTAACAAACCACTGCTAAAAAAAATCAGCTGATTTCTGATGCCCAATTGTCAGCTGGTTTTTTGATTGTGCGAAAAAAACCAAGTCCCATTAGTGCAAAAAAATACAAGTCCCGAGGGAAAATTTTTTTTTGGCCATCAAAACTATGCATTCTGGGACTTTTTTTTTCGAAGTATTGAAAATTTTTCGATAGCCAAAATTACAAGTTCCCTACGCTGAAAAACTATAAGTCCCGCCAGTCCAACGAAATACAAGCTCCGACGAAAAAAATTTTTTTTTTTGCCATCATCAAAACAATACGTTTTAGGATATTTACAGAACAATTAGATATGAAAATTAAGAGGTTTAGAAAATTTTCAATAGCACAAATAGTCACCAGTTTCGTGCACTGAAAAAAGTTGAAGTCCCGTCAGTGAAAAAAATATAAGTCCCGAAAAAAAAAAAAGATACATTTACGAACATCAAAAATCTGCATTTTAGGACATTTACAGTAGAATGAGACAGGTAACAATTAAGAGTTTTGGAAAATTTTCGGTAGCAAAAATTACAAGTTTGGTCGCTGAAAAATATAAGTCTTATCAGTGCGAAAAATGCAAGTGTAGACGGAAAAAATTTCTTTCGACATTATCGACACTATGCGTTCTGAGATATTTACAGCATAAAAAGTGAATTAAAAATTGAGAGGTTTGAAAAGTTTTCGATGGCAAAAATTACAAGTTCCGTGGGCTAAAAGAAGTTTAAGTCCCGTCATTGCAAAAAAATAACAAGTCCCGAAAAAAAAAAATTACGTTCACGAACATCAAACATCTGCGTTTAGGGACATTTAGAGAAGAATAATATAGGTAACAATTAGGAGATTTAAAAAATTTTTGATAGCATAAATTTTTGATAGCATAAATTTCAAGTTCCGTGCCCTAAAAAAAATTAACTTCCATCATCGCGAAAAAAAACACGTGTAGGCGAAAATTTTTTTTTTGCTATTATTGAAACTATGCGTTCTGGGACATTTACAGTATAATGAGATAATGAGATAGATAAAAATTAGGAAGTTTAAGAAATTTTTGGTAAAATTACAAGTTCCGTGCGCTGAAAAAGGTTTACGGTAGTTATATCCCAAACAAAAATAATGATAAAATCTTCATGAAACTTACCACACAGCTACATTATTGCCTATTAAAAACTCAGTTAAATTTTTGGAAGGCTAGGGTTCCAAGAAAGCAAAATTTTGACATTTACTGTTTTCATACTTTAACATGGATCCTTATGGAGAAATGTATTTTTCCGCCCTCGGGTGGTTTTGGGAGGCTTGGTACTTCCTCGGGCGAAAAAGCAGTTTTCCGGAACTCGTTCGAAAAGTCTCCTTTACGAACCTCGTTACGTCCCTTGCCTTCGGCTCGGGCCACAAACCTCTCGGTTCGCAAACAGAGACTTGTCAAACTCGTAGGAAAACTACTATTTTTGCGCTTCAACTGCATATGTCCTACAAAATAATGGTAAGCTTTTGACGATATTTTTTTGTGTATTTCAAAAATGGTTAATGATTTTATTCAATTTTATGAAACATCTCGAGGGTGTCTGCGAGAAAAGAAATAAGTTAATGAGTGCAGAAAAAGCTGCTAAAGGTTATGTTTTAGCACAAGTGTGAGAGGGATAGATGATATACCAAACTTCAGAATCTGCTGCATTGACAATATCGTGAGATACAACTACCTTAAGTCCCATCAGTGTGACAAAATAGAAGTCCCGATGGAAACATTTTTTTTTGTCCATTAAAACAATGCGTCTTGGGGCATTAACAGTTAAATGAAATTGGTGAAAATTAAGAGGTTTGGAAAATTTTCGATAGCAAAAATTACAAGTTTCGTGCGCTAAGAAAAATTTAAGTCTCTTGAGGGCCAAAAAATACAGGTTCCAAAGAAAAAAAGGATACATTTAGGAACATCCAAAGTCTGTATTTTGGGACATTTACGATAGAACGCAAGTAGATAAACAAGGGCGACTCTAGCACACCTGTGCTACAATTGCCATGGCGACTTCGGCACACTTCCCCTTTCCTGCAGACTTCTCTGCGCGCGGCGTTTGGTATATTTGCGCGCTGCTTGAGTTTTGGTTTGCACGAGATGGAGCTCTCTTGGACAGCTTTATTTTATCTGCGCGCGCCACTTGGTATATTGGTGCGCTGCTTGAGTTTTGGTTTGCGGGAGATGGAGCTCTTTTGCATGGCTTTATTTTATCTGCGCGCGCCACTTGGTATATTGGTGCGCTGCTTGAGTNAAAATATAAACATGGAGATCAAGTGCCTCAGACAATAGATGATTCATATTGAGAACAAGTAAAGTGGAGGAGGGGTATAGTTGTGTCTTTTACTATTATCTTCGGAGCAGCAATGCCAAGGTGTATATAAGGAAGGGACGTGTTTGAAAATAGTCAGTTGAAACAAGATTAACATTGTGAATCTTACAGTGACTATCTTTGTGTGTGTGTGTGTGTGTGTTTTTATTAAAAATGGCACCTTCGTATCTAGACAAAATTCCTGCTTTTGAATGGGAAGACTTGGAGTCTGTGATAAGAGAGGCAACAACAATCCAGGACTCTGAGGATGAGGATGAGGTAGATCTTGCGGTGGTGGTTGATGATCTGACCCCTTCTCTTCCGCGGATATCCGAGGAGGAAGAGTTAGATCTGCGAGCTTACTTTGCAAGTCTTGAAGAAGAATCATCTCCATCGTCATCAGCAGTCAAATCATTAGCGTTGGACAATACAACTCTCTGTGGTAAGTTTGNATCACTAACCAATCTCCCCATCTAAGATCACCAAAACAACTGAATCGGCAAATAAAAAAGGTGCTTTAGACACCAACGTTTTCGACGTTATATCAGGACGTTAGAAAAGAGCACTACAACTAGCTCCAAAGCTTCGGACTTAGTAATTTTTCTCCCGAACAGTCTGGGGCTTCAACAGCAGGCCAGAGAAGATCTTCCTGAGGTTTCCAGGCAGTCACAATTGCTGTTAACTGAAGACTGAAAGAGTTTACTTAATAAGCTCACCGGTCTTTTTTAGGGCCAT